TCAAAACACTAGAAAAACTAGGGAAAACGGGAACATATCTCAATATCGTAAAGGCTATCTATGCGAAGTCTCAGGCCAACATCATTCTAAATGGAGAAAAATTAAAGGCATTCCCTCTAAAAACTGGAACAAGACAGGGATGCCCTCTTTCACCATTTCTATTCAACATAGTTCTTGAAACACTGGCCAGAGCAATTAGACAGATGAACGAAATTAAAGGGATGTGTATAGGAAAAGAAGAACTGAAATTAGCACTATTTGCTGACGATATGATTCTATACCTAGAAGACCCAAATAGCTCCACCAGAAAACTTCTAGAACTAGTAAATGAATTCAGTAAAGTACCAGGATATAAAATCAACACCCATAAATGAAAAGGAATTTCTTTCTTTCTTTCTTTTTTTTTTTTTTTGGTGGTGCTGGGGATTGAACCCAGGGCCTTGTGCATGCAAGGAAATGAAAAGGAATTTCTGTATATCAGTGACAAATCCTCTGAGAAGGAAATAAGGAAAACTATCCCATTTACAATGACCTCAAAAAAAAAAAAAAAAGATACTTGGGAATCAAGGAAAGAGGTGAAAGATTTATACAACGAAAACTACAAAATCCTAAAGAAAGAAATTAAAGAAGACCTTTGAAGACGGAAAGATCTACATTGCTCTTGTATAGGCAGAATTAATACTATCAAAATAAGTATACTACCAAAAGCACTATACAGATTTAATGCAATTCTAATCAAAATCCCAATGGCATTCCTCATAGAAACAGAAAAAGCATATAATGGAATTCACCTGGAAAAATAAGAGACCCAGAATAGCTAAAGCAATCCTTATCAGGAAGAGTGAAGCAGGTGGTATCACTATACCAGACCTTAAACTATACTAGAGAGCAATAGTAACAAAAACAGTATGATATTGGAACCATAACAGACAGGTAGACCAATGGTACAGAATAGAGGAGACTAACCCACAAAATTACAATTATCTTATATTAGACAAAGGTGCCAAAAACATGCATTGGAGAAAAGATAGCCTCTTCAACAAATAGTGCTGGGAAAACTGGAAATCCATATGCAACAAAATGAAATTAAACCCCTATCTCTCACCATGCACAAAACTCAACTCAAAGTGAATCAAGGACCTTGGAATTAAACCAGAGACTCTGCATCTAATACAAGAAAAAGTAGGTCCTAATCTTCATCATGTGGGATTAGGCCCCAACTTCCTTAATAAGACTCATGTTGTGCAAGATTTAAAACCAAGAATCAATAAATGGGATGGAATCAAACTGTTTCTTTTCAGCAAAAGAAACAATCTGTGAAGTGAACAGAGTCTCCATCCTAGGAGCAAACTTTTACTCCTCACACATCAGATAGAGCACTACTAATCTCTAGGGTATAGAAAATAACTGAAAAAGCTAAGCACCAAAAAAATAAATAACCCACTCACAAATGGGCCCAGGAACTGAACAGACATTTCTCAGAAGAGGATATACAATCAAAAAACAAATATATGAAAAACTGTTCATCATCTCTAACAATTAGAGAAATGAAAATCAAAACTACTCTAAGATTCCATTTCACTTCAGTCAGAATGGTAGCTATTATGAAGACAAACAACAATAAGTGTTGGAGAGAATATGGGGGGAAAGTACACACATACATTGCTGGTGGTGCAGCCAATATGGAAATTGGTGCAGCTAATATGGAAAGCAGTATGGAGATTCCTTGGAAAGCTGGGAATGGAACCACCATTTGACCCAGCTATCCCTCTCCTCGATCTATACCCAAAAAGCTCAAAAACAGCATACTGCAGGGACACAGCCATGTTTATAGCAGCGACAATACACAATTGCTAAACTGTGGAGCCAACAAAGATGCCCTTCCGTGGATGAATGCATAAAAAAAATGTGGCATATATACACAATGGAATTTTACTCAGCAATAAAAGAGAATAAAATCATGGCATTTGCAGGTAAATGGATGGCGCTGGAGAAGATAATGCTAAGTGAAGTCAGCCAATCCCAAAAAACAAATGCTGAATGTTTCCTCTGATCTAAGGAAGCTGACTCATAGTGGGGTAGGGAGGGGGAGCATGGGAGGAATAGATGAATTCTAGATAGGGCAGAGAGGTGGGAAGGAAAGGGAGGAGGCAGGGGATCAGCAAAGATGGTGAAATGTGATAGACATCATTATCCAAAGTACATGTATGAAGACAAGAATTGGTGTCAACTTATTTTATAAAGAACCAGAGATATGAAATATTGTGCTATATAAGTGTAATAAGAATTGTAATGCATTCCACTGTCATTTATTTTTTAAAAAAAAAAATCAATAAAAAAATCTTAGTTTAATTCTGATCATTTTCCATCTTCTTATATAATGGCCTGAATGTGTCTCACTAATATATTCAAATATAACCTCTGGTTTCTGAATAAATAACACGGAAGTCTACATGCTTGCAAATAATCTCCTGGGCTAAAAAGCAGTTTCAATGAGGAATTGCTGCTATGTCATATAGAGAGAGATGTTTGCTTTGTCCTTTACAAGGCTCACAGAACTTCTGTATTTTGTCTTTCAGTTGCTCCTTTCCTTTTGTCAGAGTAACTAGTCGTCCACACTGTCATTTGTAATCTCTGCAAAAAAAAATGTGTTCTTTTTGCTTATCCAGCTTTCCCTTCCTTACAAAATTTTTTCTTACAAAGAAAGGTAAAGGATTTGGACTTTGAAACTTTAGAGTCCTGACTACAAGTTATTACCGGGTACTATTAGCAGTTTTCTGATTTGTCTATTTTCATATTTTAATATAAAGATAATACTACCCTATAAAACTTATACATAATAAAATCACATTAAAATTATAGTTGTTTTCTTCCCAGCACTAAATAATAGGTAATATGCTGTATTTGGCCATTTATTTACTTGATGTTTAAGAGGTTTTAGATATAATCAGACCGCTTCTTTGCTGGTAAGATTTTTTTTTTTTTAAAGATGCTTCTAGGTTTGGCTATCCAATAAAGCCTACTAGAAGATAAAGTTTGCTGTACAATTTTATCCACTGAATGACAATTTATTAATATCAATAACACTTCTTAAAAATACTAACATCCTGGTTGTATCTGATGAAGGTGTAATGGAATAGTAAAGTAAATCAGAAGTCATATTCTTAAAATATATGCTCAGAGAATAACAACATGACTATGCATAGAATACAATGGTAAGCAAAGGCAACTGAGCAGCAATGGGACAGCTAGGGTGAAAGAAACCAGAGCTTTTGGTTTGTGGTGAAATAGAGGAAAAACAGGGGATCTCTGACCATGCTTGTTTCTTCCATAAACTGTCATTAGTAAAGATCTTTTAAACGTAACATTATTTTAAAGGTTATCTTAAGACATATTAGGCCTTTAGATTAAAGTGAAAACAAATAGAAATCCAAACAAATAGAAATCCATCTTCTTAAAGTAATAAAAACCAAAAAACCAAGTTAAACATGGTTTCAAATTTCTGTTATAGTCTTTTTACAGATGTTATAGGTTTTATTTTCATTTACATAGTTGCTCTCTACCTGATTTTCAAAATCTGTAAAAGGAGATAGACTTCTCTAGATAGCAACACTTCAAATTAGAAACATCAACCCAGCACTAATTATCAGCAATACAGCAGTCTTGAAATCAGTCAAAAATTATAAACTATTTTTTGATTAAAGCAAATTCATGTAAGAAAGAGTTCTAATATATACCATATCTTTTCTATTCCTCACAATCTATACAAATTTCAGGGATATTTATTAACAATATATGTTTCTTTAAAAACTGGATTTCTAGACAATGTTATCTGGTGTTGAAAGCAATAAAAAATGTGATTTTTTTTTCCCTGGAGCACTGTATTACAATAGGAGCTTGGTAGTGAATGTGGAGCTGAGTTATTACTAATTCTGCAGTCATCAAATTAATTAATGCTCAGAACAAACTATAAAGAGATAAATGATGGGAGGCACGAAACAAAAAGAGCCAGGGAACACAACTTATTATAAGATAAATAAAAGAGTAAAGTATAATACCAATAATCATACTGGAATTTTCAATGCCATTGCCAAATAAGAAACAATAAGGTAGAGTGGGGTTATAGCTCATGGTAGAGGGCTTGCCTGGATTTGAAGTACCACATATAAATAAATAAAAGGTCCACTGACAACTAAAAAGAAAAAAAAAAAGAAACAATAGGTAACACCTATTGCAAAATAATATTACTATGTGCAGAGTATCCTACTAAATGATTTGTTTACTTTTCTTTTACCTCAGTTGTACCAGAAGTAGAATTTTACAGTTGAGGAGTTTAAGTAATCTGTCCAAGGTCACACAGATAGTAAGTAGTTGGACTGATACTGAAACCATGGTAGTTAATCTGCTCTTGACTACCATGGTATTCAGTTTCAAAATATAATTGGGTGGGCTGGGGATGTGACTCAAGTGGTAGCGCACGCACTCTCCTGGCATGTGCGGGGTGCTGGGTTCGAATCTCAGCACCACATAAAAATAAAATAAAGATGTTGCGTCCATCGAAAACTAAAAAATAAATATTAAAAAATTCTCTCTCTCTCTCTCAAAAAGAAAAAAAAAGTATTATATGTGTGTGTATGTATGTATGTATGTATGTATATATATATATATATATATATATATATATATATATATATATATATATAAATAAATGGGCAATTTGTAAATTTTTTGGTATCTTTTAAAAAATCAAATTTTATTGAATGAAAACCAGGTTTTTCCTTTAGATTAGTTAATCAATTTTTTTCTTAAAAAAAAATGAATCTGTGAAAAAGAATAGGTACTTTAAGTAGCTGGGAAGTTTGGGGACCAAATAAGAAAATAAGAACTGAGCATCATGATCTATACCTACAAGACTATATGATATTTACGTGCTGTTCAGTTATAAATTGCCATAGTGAAGGTATCTTATAAATATTTCTCAGTTAATTTAATTTCCCTACCTTCCAGATGTGTTCTTTAGTATGGCGAGAGCATCCGGATAGCCATCCATGTTGTAGTCTCCAATATGAAGGGTAATTGGAATTGGTATTTCAGTTGGTCGTTCTTCGTGCACAAATGGTACAAAGCCCCAGAGTGTACCCTTATTGTTGAAATCCTGTAGGACTGGAACCCACTGTAGATTTAGAGAAAAAAATTAGACTTCATAGTTACCTTGGGAAAAAAATTACAATTTGCCAAAGAAATGATCCATAAAAAGTATCCATAAAAAGTTCTGAAGATAAGCATATTTTATTTATCTTTTTCATCTCCATAGTATGGTAGGGTATTATGATTTCTTTTGATGAATAAGTTGTCTCCCTTAGAATTTATCAGTAGTCATCTTTGCTTTTTTCACAAAATCATAGAACCTTGGGATTAAATGGATATCAATATGCATATAGTCATATTACCCAATTTAAAATTAGTGTAAAGTAGAAATAAAACTTTACTTCTTTAAAATACAATGAGTATTTTAAAGAAGTAAAGCAGACTATAACATTATCTAATGCTAGTGAACTTTCAGGAGGCCCAACTTAGGAACGAAGTTAGAACATGATGAGTCTCCCTTGATCTGTTATGCTTTATTACACAAAGAGGACTAGTTATCACCTCAAGCCAAGCAGCTCACAAGGCTTTCCAAACACCATCAGGTCTGACAAGCTCTATCTGTAACTGATAGGTACTTCTCAGAAAAAGTAAATGAAGTGACACAAAAATAGCTCTAAGTTAAATTTTTACTGCATGTCTTTATTTTTATATTGATAATAGAAGACAAGGTTGATTTCTAAAAGAGTTTAGAATTCCTTTCTCTTCTGAGTACACAGATATTCACTTTTTGATAAACTAATATAAAGCTAAAAGTGGAAATCATGCAATTAAAATTAGAGGTGTGCCCACAATGTGCTGAGAGTATGGATGTTGTCATATAACTTGGAGATAATGTGAACCAAAGTTGGAACAGCTGACTGGAAACGGCAGGACAAACATGCCTACAGAACTTTTTGGTCTTATAAACAGGTGATTCATTTTTATAGTTGCAAGCTAAAGTGTATTAAAAACGGCTTCTTGAAAAGGGTTTAGCAAGTTATGTCATAGGTTTTCTAAAGAAAGTATAACTTGCCAAGGAAAAAGAAAGAAAAAAAATACTGATAAAGACATATTTTCAGAAAGTGAGATTTAAAAAAAAAAATTGGTCTGCAGCTTTAATTAGTTTTTACATTTTTCTTCAGGCAAAAAAGTATTATTTTACTTATCATAAGAAGTATTTCCCATTAAAACAATTGTATTATGCTCCAAAAGTAGTTAAGATTTTTCACTTAATGTGGTATACATAATAGTCCAACAAAGAACTGTGACCTTTATGCTCCTTCCTATGTACCGTATTCCTTCCTAAGGAGAAATGACCTTATAATTTGAAAATATTCTCATAGTAATCTGTGATTTGAATATATGCTATAATTACTAGGTTTGTTTATACCTATGAAACAGTGATGAAGTGTTACTTAACATGTTAACTGATTCAAAACTAAAAAAGTTTTAAGGTAATAAAATATAAAGGTGTAATAGTTAAATGGTTTGAGAATGCTGAGTGAATGATTTGTTTTAATATAAAATGTGATGTTCATAGAGATATAAAAGTCAATGTGGTATTTTTACTGTTTATTACCCTACAAAAGAAAATAAAGCTCATTAATTCTGTTGTCATAACTATCATTCCCATATTAATTCTCCAATATGATTCTCAGATTTCAAACTGTTTACTCACAAGCTATAGGTAAAAAGTCAGCATGACAAAATGAAACAGATCTAGATACCACAGACATAAACAAGGTTAGCTTTGAAAATAGATACGATATTCTATTATTCTTCTACAACATATCTTTATTATAGTGTTTTACCATTTCTTCTGGCATATAAAAATGCTAATAGTTCATTTAATTATAGGATTCAAAACGGGTTTTTTTAATCAGAAATGATTGTAGCAGTGCTTTCTGCTTCAATAAATAAATAAAATGAATTTAAATTTAACATGAGGAAAACAATAACTTAATTTTGTATTTCTCTTTGTTCTGATTCTTCAGATGTCTTTTCTAACCTTTGAAGATTTTTTTTAATATTTATTTTTTAGTTGTAGTTGGACATAATACCTTTATTTTATTTATTTTTATGTGGTGCTAAGGATCGAACCCAGGGCCTTGTATGTGCTCTCTCCAGCTGAGCCACAATCGCAGCCCCAAGATTTTTATTTTTTAAACACATAACTCTGTTGTGTTAAACAAAACAAAACAAAACAAAACAAAACTGATATACCTGTTTTGTTCCAGATCTCAGTAAGTAGATTGTGCTTCTCTGGCAGTTTTGATCTTCACAGCCTGGAAGTAAATGATCCATTTGTCCATCTCCATCTGCCAAAAGAAACTTTAAGAGTCCATTAACAGCCACAAAATAAAATGTGTGTGTATGGCAGATTAAAGTTCCTATTTGTTCTAAGTCTCCATCAATCTGGATAAAACCGAAAGAATTAGTTGACATATGGTTTTATAATAAATGTGTCTCAATTAAAATCAAATCACTTGGCCCTTAGTACTTAATATTTGAACTTTGTCTTGTTCTAAATTGCAAACTTTTCTGTGGTTAAATGCTTATCCAGGGTTGGAAAAAGGTCTTTTCAGGTTTTAATGTTAAAATCATCAATTTTTAAAAAGTCGCTTTGGATTTATTTATATAATTGTCACTACTGCCACAGAAGAAAAATAAGCAGCATGTCAATAGTAACATATTATTATACATCCTATTGTAAATGTGAGGCTAATCTTTTATACATACTTTTAAGTACCTTTATTTTAAGATGGATTTCAATCAAAGAGCTAAAATGTTTTCAGCACTCTGGCTTCTAAAAAAGCACAAATTTTAAAAAAAATCAACAAAAAAGTAAATGAAGGAAGTACAGGTTTTCTTTATAAGTTTTTTTTTTTTAAATTATTATTATTATTTTTTTGGTGTAGATGGACACAATACAATGCCTTTATTTTTATGTGGTGCTGAGGATTGAACCCGGATCCTGCCCACACTAGGCAAGCGCTCTACCGCTGAGCCAGAATCCCAGCCCCTTTATAAGTGTTTTTACAGAGCTGTACATTATTCTACAAACATCTCTAGAGGTGAGAGTATGGAGGAACCTGGATTCAGTTCTTTTTATGGTCATTCCTAAGTACCATATCTTTCCAAAGACAGTCGGTGTATATATATATATGCCATATATAATTTTGCACAAATAGTATAGTGTACTTTATTTTTTTTTGTACCATAAATTTTTGATTTAATATATCTCTAAGATGGTTTCATATTGGTAAATTTATATCTGCCTGATTTACAGTACAGTATTATATTGTATGAATATATTTCAATATAATCAATTTTCTATTATGTGCAAACACTGGGCTATTTGTAATCTTTTGGTAGTCTAAATCTAAAAATGAATAAATTTATATCTTTTTTACAGTCTTACAAAAGTGAGTATAAATTAGTAACCTTAAAAGTGAGTATATATTAGCAAAAGTAGTATACATTTCTAAAATGATAATTATTGGTTTGATCATTTATAAAATTCAAATTTTTATTTAATCTCCACAGAAGAATGAGTCTCCAACTTATAGATACCATAAGAACTGAGGAAATCAAAGAACTTTAAGTGGGTTACATCTATGGTTATTTGTAGTTTTAAAAATTAAGTAAAAAATAACAAATGTAAAAATATTGCATGTAAAATAATATTTTCATGAAAAATAACTATTTTCCAAAACAAATAGCTTTTGTGAGAAGACTGGAATTGCCTGGCTTCAATATCTGTCTTAACAAAAAATGATATTGAATTTTTACACTGCTTTCACAGGCCACTTATTACAGTATATTGCCACTTGTTATAGTATGGTTGATAAATGTGAAAATATGTAGTCTTAATAGCCTTTTCAGAAAACTCTGGATATTATTCATGGTACTACCAAAATGCAACAAGTGATAATCTACAGTAATGCCAATGAAAATTTCCTACTGTTAATTAAAACCCACTCATCTATATTTTAGATCACAAAGCAAGTCTTAGCAAATACTTAAAAAAATCAGTATAATCCCTTGACTTTTATTAGATCATAATGGAATAAAATTAGAAATCAACAATAAGAAAAGCAATAGAAAGTATATAAACACATGGAGATTGAACAATACAGTTTTAAATAATGAATGGATCATAAAATGAAGTCAGAGGAACAATTTAAAAATTCCTAGATGCAAAGGAGATAGAGATACAACATATTGAATCTCTGGGACAATATGAAGGTGGTTATAAGAGCAAACTTTACATTTCTTTGGGCATACATAAAAAAATCAGAAGATTCCTAGTAAACAACTTGATGCATATCAAAGTCCTAGAAAAACAAGTGCAAACCAATTCTGAAACCAGTAGATGGAAGGAGATAATTGAGATGGGAGCCAAAATTAATGAAATATAGTATGAAAAAATGTTATGGTTTTGATAAGTGTCCCATTAAAAGCTCATGAGTTAGGCAATGCAGGACTGTTCAGAGATAAAACAGGCTATGAGAGCTGTACCTATATGAATGGATTTCTGGGTGGTAACTATAGGCATGTGGGCATGGTTCGAGGAGTAGGTCACTGGGGGCGTGCCACTGGGGATTATACTTTGTCTCTAGCCCCCCCCCCCCCACTTTTTACTGACACCAGCAGGACAGTTTTCTTCCACCATGTCCTTCTACATGATGTTCTGTGTCACCTTAGGCCCAGAGCAAAGGGGTTGGCCAACCATGTACTAAAACCTCTGAAACTGTGAGCCCCAAATAAACTTTTCTTCCTTTGAGTTGTTTTGTCAGATATCATGGTCACATTAATGAAAAGCTGACTAACACAGGAATTAGTACTAAGAGTGGGAGTCTTTATTATGACTAACCTGACCATGCGATCCAAAAGGTTTTGGAGATGGGTATGGTGGTGAACCCCTGTAATCCCAGCAACTTAGGAGGCTGAGGCAGAAGGATTCCAAGTTTGAGGCTATTATTTATTAAGCAGTTTATTAAGGTCATAAGCAATAGCAAGATTCTCCAAAAAAAAAAAAAAAGTTCTTGTAACTGGTTTGCAGAAGAAAACTTAGAATACTGTTTACAGACAACAACACACTGGATGATTCTGGTAGAAGCTCAGAAGACCAGAATGCTAAGAATGTACACAGTAAAGATGACAATGAGTACTCAACTGGGAATTGGACTAGACACCATTCATGTTATGTCCTGCCAAGGAACTTGTCTACATTTTGCCCATGCTTGAGACTTCTGTGAGGTTGAAATTAAAAGTGATGGACAAATTAATCTGGTTCAGAAAATTTCAAGGCAGCATAATATTCAAACAGGGCATTTCAGAAATAAGCAACACCACACCCATGGCAGGCTCAAGGGCAAAAAAGCAAAAACTCATTTCAGAGACAACAATGGGAGCACCCTTCTCACACAGGGGTGACTAGGAAGTTGTTCTCTCAAGGTTCATTTCACCTTGCTCAACTGCTTAAGTACTGAGAAGTCAACTGCAGTCAGGGTCCAAGGGGGCATGGCTACTGCTTGAGCTAGCAGCCGACCTTGAAATCATCCACTTGGTGTTGGTTCTACAGGAATGCAGAATTCTAGAGATAGGGGGTCATGGAGGATTCCAGTGAGATTTCAAATCTAATCACACCAGTGCTTTTTTTGCCTTGACAACCATCATATTTGATGTATAGAACAGTTTTGCTGGGTGTGGAGGCATATGCCTGGAATCCCAGTAACTAGGGAGCTTTCTTGAAGGAGGACTGCAAATTCAAAGCAGCCTTAGCTACTTAGTGAGACACTCAGCAACTCAGCGAGACACTGTCTCAAAATAAAAAGCAAAAAGGGCTGGGGGCTGGAGCTTGGGCTCAGTGGTAAGGTGTTTGCCTAGCATATATGAGGCACGAGGTTCTATTCTCGGCACCACATATAAAGGTTCACCCACAAGTGAAAAATACATATTAAAAAAAAAAAAAGACTTAAAAAAAAAAGGGGCTGTGAATATAGCTCAGTGGTAAAGTACCTGAGTTTAATCTCCAGAACCAAAAATAAAACAAAAAACCCAACATAGAATATTAAAAAGATATACATGGAATATTGATATTTATTAAAATTATTGTTTGCTATTTCAACAAAAACATTCTTTAGTAAAACTATGTGTCTCATTTTCTTCCTTCTGCTGTGTTTTAATAGTGTAAGTGTAGGTGAGAGAAGAATACAAGGAATACTTGGATAGCTGGTGTTACCTCTTTGATTTGTGCTAAAATGAAAGCAGCTTTAACCGCCATTGACAATATAAATGTCAACACAGTGAAAAAGGCAAAAAATAATTTAGATGTTATGAAAACAGTTTTGACCTTGTGGACTCCCTGAAACAGTTGTAGGGCCTCCCATACAGGCCAATATTTTGGAGCACAGTTTGAAAATTATTGGCGGAGAGGTTGCACCAAGAACTGAACTATTACATGTTTTAATTTTTTCCAGTCTGATCTGTGAAAATGCTATTTTGTGAATTTTAGTTTTTCTATTAATGATAATGTTCGCCTTTCAAATGCCAATTCATAGAAGCCCTTCCCATATTAACAAAAGTATGTTTTTGTCTGTGATGCATTAATATGTTCCCTTCCTCCCCCTCCCCCTCCTTTCTGTTCTGGAGATCAAAGCCAAGGGCACTCTATCTCTGAGCGACATCCTAGCTCTTTTTATTTTAATTTTGAGACATGGTCTCACTAAGGTGCTGAGTATCTCGCCAGTTGAGAAGACTGGCCTCAAACTTGTGATCCCGCTGCCTAAGCCTCCTGAGTTGCTAGGACAATTGTCATGGGCCACTGCGCCCTGCTGATACATTCTTTTATGGTTTCTAAGTTTTGCTTATAACTTATAAAGGCCTACCACACAATAGTGGTGACTATTAGCCTAACCCCATTCTTTTTGTTCTAGTATGTTTGGGCATTAGTTTTACTTTTAAGCCCCTGAAATTTACTTTGGTATAAAACTTCAGTCATGATCCAATTATAGTTTCTAAAGATAAAAATCTAGTTGTCTCAAACCAAGAACTATTGAATGAAAAAAATTATTTAATACAGTTTTCAGAAAGGGAGGTCAAAATGGTTGGGGATGCGTCACAGTGGTAGAATAGTTGCATGCATATGTGAGGCCCTGGGTATGATCCTCAGCACAACCAAAAAAAATAACAAAAAACAAAACAAAACAAAAAAAAAAAAACAGAAAGAAAGAGATTCAATCTTTTGTATTTTGATCTGTAATGAGGAATTCTGAGTTAAATTACAAAAATAAATTAATGATTTTTTTAGTAA